ATATATATAATGGAAAGACCAGGGAAGGAAGGTTATTTCTAAATACAAAGGAGAAGTGCCGACAGTGCCATTCACTAGAGCAGGGGTCTTCAAACCTGGCCCTTTTATGACTTGTGCACTTCAACTCCCAGAATTCCTTAGCCAGCGTGCCTGGCTGAGGAATTCTGGGAGTTGAAGTCCACAAGTCATAAAAGGGCCAGGTTTGAAGACCCCTGCGCTAGAGGTTGAAGGACAACATACGAAGAAATGGATCCACATTTTACCTTTGGATCCATTGACTTTTCTATCTGAGCTTCTCTTTCTCTCTTTCCATCCTCTAAAGTTCTTTTGCCTTCTAGGGTGGTGCATGAGTTCAAAGCCACACCTAGGCCTGATGCTTCCTCTAGCAGATGTTGGTGATGTTTGTTGAAATGGCATTATGGGATGGCGAGGGTGTTCCAGAATACAGGAATCCTGAGCTTGGTTTAAGGCATGGGTCTTCAAACATGGCCCTTTTATGACTTGTGGACTTCAACTCCCAGAATTCCTCAGCCAGCGTGCATGGCTGAGGAATTCTGGGAGTTGAAGTCCACAAGTCATAAAAGGGCCAAGTTTGAAAACCCCTGGTTTAAGGAAAGGAAAATGAAAGACAAAAAACAGACAGTTCAGATTCTCTAGTTTGCCAAACATCTAAGCTAGGTTTCTCTCCCATTTATTAAAGACTTAAGGTTGCTAATACCCTAAAATAATTGGGCAAGTGGCAAGGACTGCCTGCTCTCAAACTCGTCTGGATTTGCCAAGCAATAAAGAACAGGTCACCCTGACATTCTTACTGTATTTTGGAATGAGGTTACATTGGGACATCAGAAGAACAGCAACATGGAATACAGTTCACCTAGTGCTACAAAAGCTGTTAGTGTTAAGCTGACCAGAACAGATCCTGGAGAAGGACAAGGTCTTGATGGACCTGCTTTTGCTTTTCTGGATTGGCCAGTCAGAGGTTCTAAGAAAGCTTACATGTAAGATATAATGACGGTTGCTTTCTGAAGAATTTCCAACTTATTTTCAAGAATGTAGTACTACTAATTGTGGAGGTCTAAGAGTCATAAGATCTCTGGATGCATTATCCTAGAAAATGGATGGGGAAACTTATTTAAAATAGGGATAAAGAATATCATACATCAGTGGTTCTCAACCTGTGGTCTCCAAACCCCTGGGGGGGGGGCACAGTGTCATCGCAGGGGGTTTGTGAAGGCCTGAAATGTTATGAGTTAAATCTTGGAGGCCTGTAGCCATGTTCTTTGGCCACAAAAGGTATTTAAAGGGGGATCCGTGGTGAAGAAAAAGTTGAGAACCACTGCCATACATGGTTCTTCATATGTGGTTGTATTTCAGTTTTCTCATATTTGACTATTAGCCAGGCTGACTTGGGATTGTAGAGGTTTGAGTCCAATTATAGCTGGCAAGACACCTAATTTCTCACAGTTCCTTTGAGAGTAAATACTCTTTATCTTAGAAATGTAACATGTGGGTTTCTACCTGAGTGGTTGATCTGAAAGACACCAAGGGACTTGACTTGGGAGAAAACCAATACAAAGCTATGGCTCCTGGAGCAGAAGGACAGGTGGCCTTCTTGGAAGCACGCAGTTTAATCCACTCTAGAGTTACATATTGTATCACGCAACTATGCTGTTGCCTTGATTTTGACTTTGGATGTACACACATAGCCTACTGTGATTTATTCAAGAACCTTATTCATCAACATTTGAAGGCCATCTAGACTCATGATTCTTATAATTCATAATACTTGACATAGTGTGTGACCCCCTGAGACAAATTGAGTTCATTGTGCTAAGCAAAAAACATAGTTTGCAAACCATTGTGATGGAGTTTACAGAACTCAGTTATGCAGTGGTACCTTGATATTCAATTGCTTTGAAACTCATTCAATTTGGTACTCAACACATTTTGACATGAAAAGTTTGTTCCAGTACTCGTTTGTTTGATACTCGAAGTACAAACTAGAACTTGTGAATGTCAGCCTGCCTTATGACTCAATACATTATTCCTTATGGGAAAAATTTGGTACTCGGCATGTTTGGTACTCACGCCTCCTGGAACGAATCAACAATGGATACCAAGAATGTACCACTGTACATCCAAGACTGAACTATGCTAAGCCAAATGCAATTAAGCTCCATATCTTAAGATGTAGTGTGAACCAGGCAGAGCTATTGTGTTGGCTGCCTGAACAGAAGCGAGGTCTTTCTGAATGGGGACTTCAGCCTTATTGGAGCATTACCTTTATTAGCTATCGGTGTAGCATCATCAGCATAGCACAGGCTATTCCTGCTTCTTCCTCCGGTTTTAAAACCACCCTTCTCTTTTTCCGACCTAGCCTCCTTCAGTATATATTGAGCATGTGGATTGAACAAATAAGAGAAGAGCATACAGCCTTGTCTCATCCTTGCCAATCTTCACCGTGTTTTGTCTGGATTTTAACTTCTCGTTCTGCGTAGAGGTTTTGCATAAGGACAAGGACATGTTCTGGCATTCCCATTTTCTAATCCCACATTTTTAACGTGATCACCCAGTCAAAAGCTTTCTACAGCCAGTGATGCACCCATTCACTTCTTTTGGGTATCCTTTGGCTTCCCAAGGTGCATCAAAAATGTCTCTTCTTCCTGGGCCTTTTCTAAAACCAATTTAAACCTCTAGTATTTTCCTTTCCAAGTAAGGTTCTAATTGGCATTGGGTTACTCTAAGCATTATTTTACGAACACGTGGAATTAAGGATCCGGTATGATCGTTTGCACATTGTATTGAGACACTTTTTTGACCTGTTAAGTCTTGTCACTCTTCAGATTTGCCAGTATAGTTTGGTTAGAGCAGGGGTCTTCAAACTTGGACCTTTTATGACTTGTGAACTTCAGTTCCCAGAATTCCTCAGCCAGGCATGCTAGCTGAGGAATTCTGGGAGTTGAAGTCCACAAGTCTTAAAAGTTGCCAAGGTTGGAGACCCCTGTTCTAAAGTCTTTTGGACATTCACATACAGTATCTACTTTATGGAATTTCAATATGGTCTTTCCATTTTTGTTTGATTTTTTTTAAAAATCAGTTCTGTCCACTGGCATCCTTTAGCATACCAGGTTGGAAACCTCTTTTTTGGATTAAAAAGGGTTTTTTTTTGAAGACTTTTCTTGTTTTTTAGTGCTTGTTTCTATCTTTAGTGTTTGTACATTGTGCAGGTATTGAAATATTGTTTCTTGTCTCCTAACAGCTTTCTAAAATTCTTTGTTAAATCCTTCCTAAAACTTTGTTTTCATAGCTCAGTTTTCTCTTTTTTTGTTGTTCTGTATCTGTTTCCATCTTCACTGCCTCTACAGATATTGTTGTAGTACTGTTTTTTGTCTTCCAACAGCTTTCTGAAATTATCAAAGAATTTCGGTTCTTCCTAAGAACTTTGCTTTGTTTTTTTCTTGACTTGAAAATGTCCACCATCTGTTCCGACATCCAGTTGGTTTTCTTCAGTTTCTTGGCCTTTGGAAGGATCTTTTCATATTTGTCCTTAATAACGTCTTTGATTTCATTCTACAGTTCCTTTGGTTCCTTATCCGTGAAATTTAGGATTTCAAAGAGATCCCTGGTATTCTTAAAAATGGCTGAAGATCTTATGGTGGAAACTGCTGTTTTGTTCTACCACTTGAGCTTGGAACTTGCTTGTGATCTGTTCCATCTGTTCCCTCACACAGCTATAACTGAGCTCTTCTATTTCCTGAGACCAATACTATAGTTTATTTCTGTGTGCTCTGTTTATGTCCATGTAAATAAGAGTCATTTTGATTGCTCAAAGTCTGTGTTAGCAATAATTATTGGATGGACTAAAACTGATAAGTTGTTCTCCTGTTTCATTTCTGTTTCCCAGAATATAGTGCCAACTAGCTTTTCTTCCTTACGATTCCAGCCTTGGCATTCCAGTTTCCAACTGCAAACAACACATCCTGCTTGCACATTCTGTTGATTTCTGATTGAACTTGACCATAAAACTTGAGCATGAAACTTTCTCTTTTGCATCAGGTTTAGAACATTATCTCGGAGAAATGTCATATTAAAGGATTGTCTGTGAAGTTTAACTGATATGTGATCATTAACTGCATGATATCCAAATAGTGTGTTTGCTGTACCTTCCTGACTATGAAACAATGCGGTTCCTTCTTTGTTTTCCATGTCTCGGGCATGATCTTCTGATTGAGTCTGATGTCAGTCCATTTCAAATCACTGATGCCTAAGGTGTTAAATGAGCAGCTAGTTTATTTTGTATTTCACTGTGTGGGCGCTTCTTACACTGTTTAATGAAAAGAAGGACTAAGGGTGACATGATGGCAGTGTTCCAATATCTCAGGGGCTGCCAGAAAGAAGGAGGTTAGTTAACCTATTCTCCAAAGCACCCGAAGGAAGAACAAGAAGCAATAGATGGAAACTAATCAAGGAGAAAAGCAACCTAGAATTAAG